ATAGGAAATATCACACGAACAAATAGTTTTCCATCAGCAATTCATAATTCAAAAATTTATTTGTTGGATGTAAATAATTATACTTGGGTTAGTAGTTTTGCCTCTTCTGCGTCAACTTCGGAAAATCAAACGGGTAAAATGAAAATTATAATTGGCACTATAAGTGGAATTCTTGGCGTCATTATTTTTACGGGGATTGGAATTTTTGGTTATAAGATGTATCAAAAACGAAAATTACGTGATGCTGAGAGTAATAATAAAGTTATATCCTAGATCAAAGTTTCTACAGATTTCAATTCTTCATGTCACTTCAACTTAATATTCTTTTTTTTTATGGAAAGAATCCCATAGAATATTTGTAGAATAATTTATTAATTAATAATGCTTTATTATAAACTTTTAAAATATTTTTTAAAAGATTTATGTGTTAAAATAATTAAAAATATTCATTAAATTAATAAAAGTAACAAACAAAATAATTGGATTCATTAAAACTAACATATTTTATTATTTTTGAAATTCCCAAATTTATTTTTGTTTTTTCAATAATATTTCTATGCCCGGGAAGAGGGTCAAATTTCAATTTGATCAAATAATTAAAATAAAAAATTGCTGCAAAAACTTTGCCTGTTATTTTTGTTACAATTTTACGATATATAATATTGAAATTAGATTTGAAATTTATAGAATTTCTTTAATTTATAAATCTATTTGTATATCTTTTTTCTACCGCATTCCGTGTCAATGCTTGCGTGGTCAAACGTTTGCTTTCACAATTTCGGTACTTTTACATAATTTTGTTTGCGTGATTATAATGCGACTGCAGTTTGTTTGTTGTCTATTTCAATAGCATGCTAATATAAAAAAAAGCACACAAGTTGTCGTTAAAGTTTTAGGGGTTTTTTTTTTTTCTTTAAATAGGAATGATCTTCCCATAAAAATTTTTTAGCGAGTATTAAAAGCAAAGCTCTCATAACATACAATTAATTTGTCAATTTATTTGACATTAAAATAAAGGAATAATTATCAGATTATTTACATTCTAATTTTTCTATATGAACTTTACTTTCAATGTTCAATTTTTTTTAAATTATGCACGATATGCATTATTCATAATCCTCATGATTTTGTACTTTCTTTTTTGATACCATTTATAAATAAAAATTCCAATTGTTATAAAAATTGTGACTCCAAACATTCCACTTAATAAACCAGTTACAACCCCCATAATATTCGAATCATCTGATTGACTTGCTGAATCATTTGAAGTATTCGGAGGATTTGGTAGCGTTCGATTTGAAGGTACAATTTCAGGATTAAATTGATTAACCCAAGTATAGTTATTAATATCCAACAAATAAATCTTTGAATTTTTATTCGCTAATGGAGGGGCATTTGCTTGTGTCATATTTCCTATAATACAATAACGTTAAGTATTAAATCTCTAGAACCCTATAAAAAATTCATGAACAGCTTCACATACCAAAAGCAACAATCATGTAATTTCCAACCAAATTTGCCGTATGAAACACAAGTGATGGAACTTCACCAACATTTGATGTTGCTTGTGGGTCAGTCCATTCAAATGGAGTCGTTTGAGTATTAAGTACTGCCAAGTCTGGAGTGGCCTTAACATCTAAAAATTCCGCAATATTTTTCACTCCACCATAAATAATTATTCTTCCATCTGAAGCTAATAAGTTGATATATAATATTATGACGTTAAGAAATGTTTTAAAAAAGTTTATTTTTTTCCTTGCGAAAATACGTTACCTAATGCAGCCGAATGACCAAAACGGGATTCAATTCTAGAATTACCTTTTGCTTGCTTAATGGAAATAAATGAATAAAAATTCAAAATTTATATAATTCCACGAAGGGGTCTAAAAAATATACAGTACATACCTCTGCCGACCAAGTTGCTAACTTTGTATCATAGATATTAATTTGATCAATATCTACGACATTTGTAATGATTTTATCAGATTGTTCACGACCTCCAATGTATATAATCCTACCATCTGATAATAACGTCGCAGTATAAAGATCTCTTTTTAAAGGAGCATTGGCAATAGGTTCATGTGACCAATTCATAACCTTAGTATTGAATATTACAATATCATTGAAAAGTTGAATGATTTCTGATCCTAAGCTATTGTCGGTTTTTCCACCAAAAATATAAATATTTCCAACATTATCAGCAACAGCTTGAATATTTCTACGCCTTTCTGGTTCTTTTCCTTTAATTGCAGGCGTATTCCATTTCCTTAATTTTGGGTCAAACGTATGTACCAGAGATGTAAATGTATCTTCATTTTTTTGATCTCGCGTCAATCCTCCGATCAGGTAAATAATCGTGTTATTATCTTTATTAGTTGATGCAGTTGCTGCAAATGCGCTGCTAAACGGAATAGCAGATGAAGCAGTAATGTCTTTCCATGATGGAGTTGCCATATCAAATGGTTTTGATAAATCAAGGTAAAATACTTCTGTTAAGACATTACTTTTATCATCAATTCCACCTAAAAAATAAATCTTGTTTCCAATAAGGACAGTGGAATGAGCCAACCGTCCTACGGGAGTAAATGATTCGACTCCAAAAAACAGATAGCTTAATATGAAGATGTACCAATTAAGTGATTTATATTCTTTGCAAGTCATATTTTTATGATTTTTTTTAAATAAAAAAAAAGAATTTGATAATTAATTAATGAAGTTATAGAATCTCTTTAATAAAAAAAAAATTTTGAAAAAAAATTTTTTTCATTATAGTCCTTTATTTGATTAATTTGTTTTATTATGCACATCCTGAAACACCTATTCCTTCGCTGGTCTGCGCTTTTATTACATTTTTATATATTAGTATATGCGTTAAGGAGCAATCGTTGTTTGAATCGGACTCGTGATCTCCGAATTTTATACGATATCCAGATTGGGGAATTTCTGTCAACTATATATGGCATCACAAAGATTATATCGCAGTCACGTGAAACAAGTTTTAAAACCCAAATGGTTTAACAATTTTATCATTCTCTAATGACAGACAATACATGATTTTGTATTTACAGTAAACGCTCGAAATTCTATAATATTTTGACATAGAATTAATATAATATTACATTCTTAAGATGCAATTGATATTTGATAAATCGTTTGTGCAACACAGGAAATGAACCATAGTAATAGATTGTATTCAAAATTGATCAATTGAATTTGTTTCGAGTTAAGGAAGAACTCTTGGATAAATTAAGGATTTTCGACGGTTCACAGTGCTTTGACAAATGCCAACGTTTGAATTTACATTGAAAAAGAAGAACTTTTGTAAAGTTCCAGAGTTTATTGCACAAAAAGTTTATTATATTATTTGCTAATAAATATATATGAATTATTTTTTAATCTCTTTAACGTTAAATTAAAGTTGCCTCAAATTTCTCATCACTTATTAATTTTAATAAGACAATTCTAACATCTACGAACTTCTTGTACCCGCTGAAAAGCGCACATAAACTAATTAGAAGTAATCAATTATGAAATAGCAATGTTTAAAAAATTTTTTTTTTTCTGAATATTCTTGCATATCCCTATTTCATTTGTGAAGAACTACGGTCTTTGGTTCATCCAAATCGTCATCATCTGCTTCAATTCCAACATCTCTTGCTTCTTCGACATCGACGTCACCCTCAGCTTCAATTCTAATATCTTTACACGATTGTTGTGATGTACTTGCATCACTCGCTTGCAATTTTAGGTAGATAAAAAAGTCAGTCTAATTCTGAGTCAGCCGAAACGCACATATCAACAGTCAAAGTCTTGGGGGAGACTGGTGATTATGTCAAGATTTGGCTCGCCAGCGACGAATGGCACACGCGAAAACCCCAGTTGTAGATGCACCCCATCTCAGTCCAAGTATCTGACTGCCGGCAAAAGTTTGGACACTTGGGTTCTGCATCGTAATCACTAACAGAGTGTTTTCGACTCCTCAGAGAAATTCGTAAAATCTATAGAAGGACGTTTACAATAGGGCGCTTTCTGTGCGTCATGTCTGATTGCCTGACTGGAAGCTTTCGCAAACTGTAGCCACGAAACGCTTCCAGTTCTACAAAGTCTACTAGTCTGCACAAAGAGCACTAAACCTTGTTAAATTTATTCATAAAGGATTTTGATATTTGTTATCATTCTTGTTATAAGCCTTAGAGATCTTTTTTTAGAACTTGGTGACACCCATCAACAGTCGCATCTGGATAAGTTTTGTAGTTAAATTCTTCTCATGCCAAAATTTTCCCAACTGCTTGATCAGTATTCTGAAAACGTATATAAAGATTTCCTACGATATTAGTACAGAATATTATCAACTTACAAGGACATGAGAGCTTTAAAGTACATCCATTATATTATTGTGAAAAGAAAATGAACACGAAAAGAATAGAAGAAAAAGTTAAATATAATTTTGTCGTGCCTGAAAATTCAATACCCATGATATAGTTCCTCATATATTGCCTTCAGCATAAAGAATTTGACTTGCTTTTCAATAATAAAAGGAAACATTTAAAGGTTTCTAAGATTCTTAAATAACAGATCATTAAACTTATCGAAAATTTTAAAAAATCTAAAATTTAATTGGTATAAAATAGCTTATTGTAAGTACCTTATTAATATATGGTAAGAATTCCAAGTCTTCCAATCATTTGATCATAATCATCCGACACGGTTGAAAGATCTTAAAAAAAAAAAAAAAAAGAATTAACTTTCATGTGCAGTGTAATTGGTTATTATTTTTTTTTGGTTTTCACAAGAAAGGTCATAATATATCACTATCCTCATATTTTTTTCTCCTCGTTCTCATTTATCTAAATGTATTATTATGTATATATTTTTCTAAGTATTTCGATTATATGTATTAAATAAAACACGCTTGCACGAGTTAAGAAAGGCAATATATTATTTCGCGGTAACATAAACGATCACATGTTTTTTTATGTAAGGATTTACGCAGGGTTACACTGTTTACTGTGGATTTATTACGTTTTTTGTTATTTAAGAGTTTCTAAATATTACTTTCGCTTTCTAAATATTACTAACGCTTTCAAATATTGCGAGGTAAGATTTATCGAGTAGAGCGTAGTTTTCAAGTGACGAACGGTGGATTGTGTAACCTATAATAAGCGAAAAAAAAATTAATTTCGCCTTTCTTCTTTCTGCTACGTACCTTAAAACGATGAAAACTGATTTAAACAATATGGAATCCGCTGGTTCTTTCTCGTATTTAATTGGCAATACTGACACATATTGTGTTGATCTAGGAAGAAACGTCGTTTTGAGAATAGAAACTATTTTTCACCAACCGCCAGAATCTACTTTATAGACGCCAATGTAGGGATGGATCGGTCCTGGTAAGGCCAGTCTTAAACCGGTTAAATGGCATATTCTGAATTAATTTTATATAATACTAAATAAATTGTTTTATATTACAAACTTAGATTGGATAAACCCAGTTTTCTTCTCTTTTATGGAGCGGACCGGTCCTTGGATCTGTTCTAATATTTTACTGTAACGAAATGAAAATATCAGAAATGGATATTAAGAAGGCGCAGTAATCGTTTCGTATGCAATTATTATTATTATTCTTTTTTATTTATTAAATTTATACAATTATTTTATTAAATTGATCATTTTACATGTATATATCAGGTGAATATTATTTTCTAATATGTTCTGGACTGGTTCGAGAAGAAAACAATCTTGGACTGGACCGGACTGGTATGACCGAATGGTACAAGACTGGTCTTAGAACCGACCGGTCCGGTCCAAAGAAAGATGAAAGACTGGTTTGTTTGGACCAGACCGGATCGGACTGATCCAACCCTACGTACAACGACCCACCAAACAATATAGCAATCCCAAACGGGATTACTGTAAAAGATGTAACAAAGAAACCCGAATATTTCTTACCCCGCTTGGAGATTATTTCATAACTTGGTTCTATAGCTACGAAATATCTTACAATAATCAATCGGCGGGTGCAGAACGCTGATGGCCTATTACATTTTATCGATTAATATAACAGTTCATTTTTTATGGGGTTTTGTCAGTAAATAATCGTATTAATTAATAATTGTATCAAATCTCCAGGGAATCTGTGCTATTTGCTTCATACTTTTGCATATTTGCTTTAAGCTTTATTCCAAAAGATAGGCATATATAATTGTATAAAATTAAAGTATGAGAAAGGAGACCGGCCGGCTAAATAAAAACGAAAGTGATAAAAAGATTTTTGGAGGTTAATTACGTTTAAAAGGAGGAATAAAGTATGATAATATCATGCCCGCTGGATCCTAGGCCTTTTACATAGTAAATATGACAGTTCCATCTTATTATCATATATTGTTATCTAAGTTTTTGTTAGTTTTGTTATATATCATCTAATGTATAACCATCCTTCTTCTTGACATTTCTCTCAATAAAACCTTGAACCGTAGTTTTACTTCAAGTACACGAATTCCTTTGCTACGTGAAAGCACATCTCCTTCTAATTAATCTCTTTCGTCCCTGATTTAATCGTAAGTTTGCTTGAAATGGGTCATGATAATAAACTAATTCTCTAAATGTTATAGAACCGGAGTCTGCAATAGCGAAGAAAAATGTTGTATATGTTAATAGTTTCTTGTAATCTCTTAGAATTTACAAATATTTTGTAGACACATTATTTTAATTTTTGTAGCATTAGAATAAATAAGCATTAAAATTATTTAACTATCCGTTTATTTAAATGAATCTATAAAAAAAAATAAGAAACTTTTTTATAATAATTATAAAAAATCAAATACTATCTCTAAAAACTTATTTTCAATAATAATTTAATAAGACAGTTATTCTCTTTAATTTAAAGAAAAAACTAACACTCCTTTTATAAATACTTACTTTTAAATCAAGACTTAAAAACTTTAAAATTAAAGGAAGAAAATTAACAAATGTTTACTTATTTATAAAAAAAATTAATACTCAATTTATAGGAATTAAAGATTTAAAGTACTTCAGAAAATATAAAAGATATGTATTATATTAATTATCTTTTTTTAACTTAATATTTCTGAATTTATTAATTATATATATTATATAAATTAGATGCATTACATATATTATATATAGGTCTTTTGCAATAGAAAGGAGAAAAATAACTGAAAAAATAAAAAATAAACTAATGACAAATTTAATATAATTTAGTTAGAAAAACATTTTTAACATATTAAAATAAAATAAGTTACATAATAAAAATTTTTAAATATTTCAAATAATTTATAAAAAACTGCATATCTATTTATAGATTTAAAATTATCTAATTCATAAGTATATATAAAATCATGTGACTTATGATTTAAAAATTATTGGGATTTTGTGATCCTTTAAAAGTTTTACAAATAAAGATGAATTTCTAAAAGATTTCACAAAAAAATTTGTAATTTTCTAAGAGTTTTTAGATAAAAACAAATCTTTAAAAAATTTTACCAAAAATATTTATAATTCTCTAAAATTTTATAGATAAAGATAAATTTTTAAGAAATTTTGCAAAAAAAATTTTGTGATATTTAAAAGGTTTTAAATAATATAATTCTCTTTAAAAATTTTACAATTTGCAACTTTCTGCAATAATTATAAATCCAATTAAAAATTCATTTATCTATTAGTTATTTAATAGGATTTTTTTATTTTTAAAATTGCATTTAAATTTTTTTATTTAACTTTATTTAAATATTATAATATTATTTCTTTGTTTTAATTTTGAAATTATATTAATTTATTAAAAAATTCTAAATTTTAATTTAATTGATTAAAGTATATATATTTTAATTATTAACATATTTTGATAAATAATAAATACTACACTAAATATATATCATAATATATAGTTATTATTATCAGATAATCTTACTTTATATAGTATAGTATTAATATTTATGATTAGTTATATATTCTAAAAAAGGAAAAAATAAGTAAAATTTAATTAGGAATTATAGGAAGCATTTTAATATATACTAGTAAGTACTCATTATCTATATTAATAGTTAATTATACTTTAGATATCAGTATTACTAATTAATCATCAATAATTTTAAATACAATAATTTTACAGTAAGAATATAAAAGAAGTTTTTGTTTTTTTTTTTTTTCTTTTTTTTTAACAAAACTTATTTTTATTTACAATATGTCTTCATCAACTTCTGCTTCTGCTTCTGCTCCTGCTCCTGCTAAACCACCAAGAGTTAAGTGATCAAAAGAAACTACTGACGCTCTTTACAAGAGTGAAGAGAACGAAATAATGTAAATATTTTAATATAAATTATTTTAATATATTATATCAATTATTTTTAATTTGTAAAATTATTTTAAAATTATCATAAGTCTTGGAGAAATTCCAAGAAACAATTTTAGGCTGATTTAGCCCAAAGAGTGAATGAAATTGCTAATAGCAATTTTTCTGACATTCAATATCAGAGAAAATTTTCCTCTTTAGTTATCGAATATGACGTAAGTAAAATGATAAAAATGGTAATAAAAACAAAATAATATATTATATATGAATATTTTCTTTTTTTTTCTTTTTATTTAGAATTTAAAGTTATTGAGGTTGGATGATGATAGGGAAAAAAAGAGCAAATTAGTCCTTCAATATTATGAATTATTCAATACCTGTTTTTGGGATTCTTCTCATAAATATAAAGAATTTTATATTTATATTTTAATAAAATTTTTAATTTTACAATATATTTTTTAAATATTTTATATATATATTTTTTAGGTGATGAACACAATGCTGAATTCTAAACAAATAAACGGATTTAAGAGCAAAGAGATTCTAAAGTAGTATGATAATATACATATTATTAAAGTTTAATTATATATTTTTTTTTGGATTGCTAATTTTTTTTTTCTTTTATAAAAAAGAAGCGAACA